AAAGAGAGAGAATAGGAGAGAGAGAGAGCAGAGAGAGAGAGAGAGAGAGGAGAGAGAGAGAGAGAGAGAGAGAGAGAGAGAGAGAAGAGGAGAGAGAGAGAGAGAGAGGAGAGAGAAAGAGAGAGAGAGAGAGAGACAGAGAGGAGGAAAGGAGAGACAGAGAAAGAAGAGAAGAGAAAGAAGAGAGAGAAGAAGAGAGAAAGAGAGAGAGAAAGAGAGAGAGAGAGAGAGAGGAGAGAGAAGAGAGAGAGAAGAGAGAGAGAGAGAGAGAGAGAAGAGAGAGAGAGAGAGAGAGAGAGAGAGAGAGAGAGAGAGAGAGAGAGAGAGAGAGAGAGAGAGAGCTTTATCATCATCATCATCATTTCAAATATCATTATTTAATATATGGAAAAGAACTGGATGGTAGTTCTTCTTTCCTCAAAATTTCAACAGAATAGGATCCTTTTAAATTTCGAAGTTCAAAATGTAAGCAACAGATAATCGAAAAAGTTACTCTTGTTATATTCCATGACCTACAAAAGAACAAGCAAGTCATAGGCGCATTACTTAATCACATAAAGGATGATATTAGGAACAATAAAACTGGATTCGTAAGAAAAAATACTATGCAAAATATATTTCAAACTACAACAAATAGGTGAAAAAAAGATGTAAATGTGATTTTATTGAATGCATAGGATAAACAGCAACAATCTCAAAACCGGAACTTTCTTTTAAGTGTTTAGTACATCTGTTTCATGATAAAAGATAATTTTGAAAAAACAAAAAAAATAATAAGGTACAATAGAACATTTTAAAGGGAGAAAATAAAACCAAAGATTCATTATCTTCCTTTTCTTTGTTTTTGTCAACTCCTTCTTTGACATAACTTATAAAAAAGGTCAACTCCTTTGACATAACTTATAAAAAAAGATTTGTACACTGGATGAGAACCATGCCAGGAATAAACAGGTACCTTTCACATCAAAATCTACTCTAGATTCTTTTTACAGGTAGCAAATTACTAAAAAGATATATCTCTTCTTATTTACTGCTTATCTTGGTACAGCATTCATATACAAACATGGAAATGAAAATGCATTATTCCTTTATTGTTCTTAACATACTCCATGTGAAAATAAACTAAAGTATTTTTACAATTTCACTTGCAAGTCACTGACACGCCCCCTGCCCCCCCCCTCCAATACCACTGTGATTATGATATGGAAGAGTTAACGGGAGAGGTATCCTGCAGGAGGGAGGCTAGACTTGAGGCCGCAGCAAGGGACCCCATACTCATTCCCCCCGATCCTGAGACCCCACTGCCCACGTTGCTTGTCTGGCCCAGGGTAGACCCCATGCCGCTAAGGGAGCCTAGGCCTGAAGCAGGAGTTCCGAGGACAGACCCTGCCGCCCCTGCACCGCCAGTCTGGTTGACGTTGCCTCCGGGTACGGGAGCTGTTGCAGTATTGTTGCTGGTATTGTTGACAGTGCCAGTGTTGCTGGTGGCATTGGTGGGGGTGTTGCTAGCGGCAGTGTTGGCTGTGTGTGCTGGGGTTGTACTGCCGGGAGCATTATTTGTTGGATTCTGTGGAAGAACCGAGAACTTTCATTAAGAGAAGAGGTTTATTGCCAGGACGAATATTACAGCATATCAATACAATGTTTTATGAATGAATTTGTAAATGTTCTCTATAACATTATACATATCCATGAGGATTTATGACAGCTGACAGGAGGCATCTGAAAACTAACACTTAAATAGATGCATTTTTAACTTGACTGTATAACCTGTTTCAATACAGTACATGCATAATATTTTAAATAAACGTTACATTTCCAAAATGTGTACATTTTTAATACCTATTTAACATTTTGGAGTTTATACTTAATCTCCAGTTAATAAAATCAACAAAGGCTTCAAAACTAAGGCTCAAAATAGAAAGAACCAAAAAACAGTCCACAACAACAGCACAATCTAATCACAAGCAAAGGAGAGAGAGAGAGAGAGAAAAAAAAAGAAAAAAAAAAAAAAAAAAAAAAAAAAAAAAAAATACACATCAAGCCCACAGACCTCAATGGAATCCAAATTAAGGTGCGTGATGAAGCGCAGCCTCTTCTGCAATGCTGGTCTTAGGCTCCTTATGATGCCCTCCACATCGGTCTTGATGGAGTCCCCGGTGAACATGTACTTGATGTGGTAGAAGACGTCACAGATGGGGTCCATGTACTTCAGCTCTGTGACACTGTGATCAACCTTGGGGAGAAAAATCCTTCTTAGTTGGAGTAAGACGAACGGGATAGTGAATAGTGATGGGACTATTTTACTTTACATATTGGTGATTTGCAAGTTTTGGGGACATATCAATAGAAATTATATGTATAATGACACAATATAGCAAAGTTATATATTATTCTGATTTTTTTCTATATCAGTAACTTCAGCATTAAGCATTTCCTACAAAAAGTTTTGCTCCATAACTCATTACACAGAATACTATATATCATCTTCAAAGCTTTATATCAGCAATTTCACTACCTCTTCGGATAGCATCTTTGAAAATATTTAGCACAACAGATGACTGTGAAAAACAAATTACTCTAATCATTATATATCAACAATCTCCCTACCTTTGCCAGTGCTTCATAAAGTTCTTTGGTTACGTCGAAGACTTTTCTCGCAGACTCATTATTGAAGCGCTGGAGGAAAGGACCAACAAGATGGCAAACAACAACTAGCTGCTCCTCTGTTGTCAAAATGGGGCGAATACGTTCTCGCAATAACCTATAAGAAATTGGAAGAGGTTAATATATGAAAAGGTAAATGATCTTTTGTTTTTTATAATTAATAACCTAAAGTCTTCTTTTTTACTTCAATTGGTTATCCCTTCTTAGCATTTCCAAATTATCCTTATCACAATTTATCATCCAGTAATGAAGTTATGGACACGCATTTAGTTAGTTTACCACCACCATGTTTCTTTTCCGATGAAATCTCATGCAATCATGCTCACATTACATTACATCTTGCGAATCATGACACTTGCATAACATTGGTCGATTTTCCGTTATGCGGTGTGGCCGAGCACTGTTATTGGTGGGATATCTGATATCTCTTTAACCTTTTTCACTGGAAGAAGTGCAGGTAAGCTTGAAACTTTTAACAGTGTTTATAAAAGTGATAGAAAGCCTGATAACTATAGGAGTATTTCAGAGCTGTTTTTGGCTTCTTTGGTGGAAATCTGTCAATGAACAGGGAAAAAAAAAAAAAAAAAAAAAAAAAAGACAGCACGATGCCATCATCAATCACACTCACTGTTCTTATGCAATAACTTGCGAAAAATTTTACATATATATTAATCAGTGTAATTAAAAATTGCCTAAAAATTATCTAGTCTTCTCCCCCCCCCCCCCTGACACACACACAAACATGTACCTTCTCCCAGCCTAAGGACAAAAATAATGTAAGAGAGACAAAATATTTGGCTCTATTCCACAAAATTTGCACCTCAAAATGCAGGAAATAGTGTTCAAGAGAGTCCTGTGGTGCTCACCATCACCTGCAGAACCTGCTTACACACCAGTCAATGTGTGGGAAATAAAGAGGACACCCTGTGCAGAAATCCTAGCTAGAATTAAATCTACCGCCGGTTAAATAAGTTGGCAAGTGTTTGTTCCTTGTTTGCGCC